GAAACAAACCAGTGACCTTTTGGTGCATGGGACACTGCTCAACCAACTGAGCAACACCAGCCAGGTTTGACCTCTCTATTCTATTCCATTGGTTTAAAAAAGTCTGTCTTAATGCCAGTACCACAGTTTTAATTATTGTAGCTTTTTAATAAGTTTGATATCAGGGAGAGAGAGTCCTCCTACTTTATTGTTCTTTTTCAATATTGTTTTGGCTATTTGGGGTCCCTTGAGATTTTCTATAAATTTTAGAATAAAATTTTCTATTTCTGCAAAAGGATGTTGCTATGTGTATTTTGATAGGACTGCATTACATCTGTAGATTACTTTGGGTAGTAATGACATTTTCATAATTAAATTTTCCAATCCATAAACCTGGGATGGATTTCCATTTAATTAAGTCTTTCATTTCTTTCAGCAATGTTTGGTAGTTTTCAGTGTACAAGTCTTTCACCTCCTTGATCAAGATAATGACTAAGAATTTTATTCTTTTAAATGCTATTGTTAATGTATAGAAACACAACTGCATGTTGATCAAATGCATGTTGATTATGTATCTTAAGCTTGGCTGAATATAATTCTTAGTTCTAATGGGTTGTGTGAGTATAATCTTTAGGGTTTTTGTTACATAGAAGATTAAGTCAAACAGGAATAAATTCAATTCTTTCTTCCCAATTTGGAATTTCATTAATTAACTAATTAATTAATTAATTTTTGCCTAATGCTCCAGCTACAACTTCCAATAGCTTTTTTTTTTTTTAAGTGGCAAAAATTGGCATCCTGGTCTTGTTCCTATTTTAGAGAAAGAGCATTCAGTCTTTCACCATTGAGTATGATATTAGCTGTGTGTTTTTTAATATAAGGCCTTTATTATGTTAAGGTAGTTTCCTTCTATTTCAGATTAAGTGTTATTAACATGAATGCATGCTGAATTTTGTCAAATAATATTTTTTTGTATCAACTGAGCTACTCAGTGTTTTTAATCCTTTATTTTGTTAGTGTGGCATATTGATTGTTTTGTTTTGTGTTTTTTTTTTTTGTATGAAGAACTATTCTTGCATTCTAGATATAAATCCCACTTCATCATGTTGCATAACTCTTTCAATATGCTGCTGAATTTGGTTTGCTAGTATATTGGTGAATATTTTTGCATCAATGTTCATAAGGAATATTGTTCAGTTGTTTTCTTGAAGTTTTTTTTTGTCTTTCCTTGGTATAGGGTAGTGCTGCCCTCATAGAATTAGTTAGGAAGTGTTCCCTTCTCTTCCATTTTTTTGAAGAGTTTGAGAAGGATTGGTATCCATTATTTTTTAATGTTTGGTAGACTTATTAGTGAAGCCGTTTGATACAGGCATTTTATTTGTAGGTAGGTTTTTGATTACTGATTCAGTCTTCTTACTAGTTACAGATCTATTTGGATTTTCTATTCCTTTGTGATTCAATCTACTAGGCTTTGTGTTTGTAAGAATTTGTCCATTTCATCTAGATTATCCAATTTTGTTGATCTTTTTAAAGAAACAATATTTGATTTAGTTAATTTTTCTGTATTGCTTTTTCCATTTGCTATTTTATTTATTTCTGCTTTAATCTTTATTATTTTCTTTTTTCTTCTAGTTTTGGGTTTTGTTCATTCTTCTTTCTTTAGTTCCTTAAGCTATAATGTTAGGTGGTTGTTTTGAGACTTTTCTTTTTAAATGTAAGCATTTACAGCTATAACTTTCCTTATCACTTACGTTTTGTTAGGAATCATGGAGGCAGGAAACAGTGTAACTTTTTTTTTAATGTGCTGAAAAAAAAAGAGCTGTCAATCCAGAATACTACATCTAGTGACAATATCCTTCAGGAATAAAGGTAAAATAAAGGCATTTTCAGATGAAAGAAAGCTATTAGAAGGTATTTCCAACAGACTTGTTTAAGAACTAGAACACCCAACCAATAAAAATACCACAACGATTAACACTTAAATAAGACTTATAAATCAGTTGTTGTTTTAAATACTTTACATGGACTCACTCACTTAATTCAAGAACACTGGTACTATTAACATCCTCATTATACAGATAAGAAAACAAAACAGATGTTAAGTAGCTAGTAAGTAGTAGAGCCCGAATAGAACCCAAGCCAGCCATCTGCCTTCAGAGATGATGCTCTTAACTAATACTTGATACTATCTTCCAACTTTCTTGTACAGAAAACCTATAGTATATCAAGTAATCAAATAGATAAAAACAATTTGGAATAGATTTGGTGATTCTGAAAGGTATTTTTATTTAATTCTGCTTTCTAGAGACAAAAACAGAAATGCAAGGCACCAACTTGATAGATTACCTTGAAAAAAATTCTATTAGAATTAGGATGTATTGATTTATCAATAAAAATAACCTTAACAATAAATATTTTTTGAGTACTTACTATGTGTTAAAAGTTGTTTTGCAGGGTGAGGATGTAAAAATGAATAAGACAAAGCTCCTGTTCTTGAGAGTTTTATACAAATTAGGTAATACAGACAAGAAAGTACAGTAGGTCCTCGGGCTACGTCGGCGATCCGTTCCTACGGATGTAACGCGATTTTCACCGTAAGTTGGAACCCACCTACATAAGCACCTACGTCACTCACATGGAGCACATACACAGCAGTAATGAAGTGAAACAGTAAAAGAAATTTAAAAGAAAGATAACAATTCCTGACCTTTAGTTGTGATAAATAAATAATAAAAAACATAAAGCACATATGAACATATGTCGAAATGATGGAACATTTTTTTTTTTTTACAAATAAATGGAGATGGCGATGTAACCATGAAACAACGTACGTCGAGTCTGACGTAACCCGAGGACTGTTTGTAAATAATTACAATATAGCATGTGTTATAATAGAAGTATACGCAAAGTCCAAAGTACATACAAGGTAAAAATGCTATCAAAAGGAAGCATCAATCTAATCATGGCTGTTTTAAAAATAGGAATTAAAAAAGGCTTTAAAAAGCACCAAAAAATGAATATTCATGGAAATATTCTACAATTTCCTTTTCCACTCATGTAGAACTGTTTCAAATCTATTAACTGTTTCAAATCTGTGGAAACTCTCAGTTAAGTCGGCAATGAACAGAAAGAAAAGTCAGAAGAATCTGTTACCCTGATGTGTATATGTTTGAATTTTCAAAGCCCACAGCATAAAGATGATGACCTTATACAAAGTACTTAGAATCAGCTCCTGTTGATTAGTTATCCACTTACTCAGCAGTCCAGTGCTCAGTCCAGTGGATTCAAAAGATGGAAAAGGAATTAATCCAGAAAAATCTTTCAATAAGACAAAAAGTAATATTTCTATACTGGATCAAGAAATCTATAGTCAATTTTAAGGATTACCTTAACAGTTGCAAAGAACAAGTTCTCCAGGTTAACTGTGGGATCATTAAGGACAAGGCCTTACATATTTTTTTCTATTCTTAGTAGCCCTAATGGTTAATATGGGGCCTGTCAAATAGAGTATCACTATGCCTGCCAAAATAGAATTTACATTATAAAAGAATTAACAAGAGATGAAGTTTAATTCTTTAACTATATTCCTTTTATTCCAAGAAAGAGTTATTTTATGTTCACAGATAACTACACTTAATTCCATAGAGAAAAGGGATCAAATGTGACTCTCGACCTCATATCTATACTAATATAAGTAAAGGCTAAAAAAAAATAAAAAAATCCCCAACAGAATAAAAGAGTTAATATAAGTTCCTTAAAGATCAGCATGGTCTTTTAAGTTTAAAATCTCTATCATTCTACTTTAATTCTATTTTTGCTCTTACTAAAATATTCCCATATAGTATTTGTGATAGCAAAGGGAATACAGTATCTAATGACCCATTCACATTTCCTTTTAGTTATTTTCAAGTGGCTTCTCTTCATGGGATATAAACTTAGTCCAAGTAAAAGAAAGGGCATTGTAACTCACATTCTAAGCATTAAATGCATATATTTACTTATATATTCATATTGCACATAGGGTCAATAAATGGCTATAAATGATTGTGATATGCTTATATTATAAAGTTGCTGTGTATTTTTAGGTTGCTCTGAGATCAACTGTCTATTTAATCAAATCATTAAATCAACAGACTCCTACTAATTTATACTTCTGTCTTTAACTTAAATGATATGTTATATGTTGTCCTCATTAAAGGAGATTTTAATCTAAGAGTTGCTAAAGTAATAAATAAATAAACCATTAGATCAGTGATGGCGAACCTTTTGAGCTCAGCGTGTCAGCATTTTGAAAAACCCTAACTTAACTCTGGTGCCGTGTCACATATAGAAATTTTTTGATATTTGCAACCATAGTAAAACAAAGACTTATATTTTTGATATTTATTTTATATATTTAAATGCCATTTAACAAAGAAAAATCAACCAAAAAAATGAGTTCACGTGTCAGAGGTGTCATAGGTTCGCCATCACTGCATTAGATTGAGATGGATGTCAACATCTATGTCAACAAAAGCATAATTTTAAATACACTAATTTAATAAAATAATAATGTACTATTAATTGAGCTTTTTTTTCATGACCAGATATCAATATATCTAATTACAAACTGGAATAAAAGTTAGTAACTTGTGAGAACAACTTAATTTTAGAAATTCTACTGTTTAGTTTTATCAAATTAGTATTTGAATGCAATTAATGAAAATTAATGATTGCAGATAATCACAAAAAAGAATAGTTTTACATCTTAATAAACTGGACTCTTCTCTGTGTTAGGACTGACAACTTTTAGCAGTAATATAGTACTTTCTAAAACTTTAAATATAATATGCAAAAAGAAAAATCTTGAAAGAAACTAATGTCCAACATTTGACTGGACAGGAAACTAAGACTTTTAATTCTCGGGAACATATGGGGCAAACTTAATTGTTATAACTCAAGTTTCTTGGGTTTATCAGTCTATTGTAGTGATTAATAGTATGGAATTAATTTTATTTGCAACATTTTGGTGACTTTCTTACCTAGAGAGCATGCCCAGAGGTGTAACATTAAGTGATCCCATCAGCATTGCCAGGGCCATCCCTGGTGCTTCCCGTTCTATTACTTCTTTTGTGGCCTGTAATTAAAGATTAAATAGCAGACTGAGTGAAACTAGCCAAAAAGAAGGAATGCAGACTAGTAAAATTAACTTCAATGTAAGTATAAACCATACTTTTCCTAAACCACACTTTGTAGTTCTTCAGACTTTTTTTTTAAGGCAGCAAGACTCAGTTCTTTGGGACCACTGAATAAAAGCCGAGGACCAGGACATACAGGGAACTTTTACATTAGCAGACCTTTCTTATATCTTACAATTCTGAAGTATTTGATAAAAGTCTCATCTCGCCTAATAACCTAAATCAGGGGTCCTCAAACTTTTTAAACAGGGGGCCAGTTCACTGTCCCTCAGACCGTTGGAGGGCCGGACTATAGTTTAAAAAAAAAACTAGTCGGCTGCTAAGCAACAGGCAGCGGCGGCAAAAACACCCGGCGGGCTGGATAAATGTTTTCGGCGGGCCGCATGTGGCCCGCGGGCCGTAGTTTGAGGACCCCTGACCTAAATTTTAAAAGAAAGTCCCAGATTGCTATAAGGGCTCAATAGATTTCTAAGGGTAAGAAATTTGGGTAAATTTATTTTTGTCTATCACTCTTAAAATAATTAGTTCCTCCTTGAAACCCTGCGATCATTTTGTATCTCTCCTAGCTCTATATTTTTATGATATAATTAAAAGGAACTCAAGAAGTCATCAGTCAACTTTTCCCATGTATTGGGTAGAAAAAAACCCTCTAGGTTCCATATCTTCAATATGAATTACCATCTACTTTAAAAATAATAAAAGTGATAGGCTTTATTTATATAACAAGTTTTAAGATAGAACATTTTTAAGACAAGTGTGTTTAAACCTGGAATAAGCTAATGAAGGAGACAGGAATATTTCTTTTCTAAAGGTAAATCAAATTAGGTATATATTATTCTGTGATGGTAAAGATATGACTTAGGTTAAAACTTGAGTGTGAAATATATGATTTAATTAATTCCTAATCCTCTGTTTTTATAAATATAGCTTACAATACTTGGGGGCAGTACAAAAGTGAAATTTGCAAAACAAAGTGTTCCAATAAATAAGAAAAATGAAAATGAAATAAAAAGTAAATTATGGAGAAAGGTTTATATTTCAATATTTCATTAGAAGTAGAGAGATATTCTTAGATTGTAGCTCTGGGAAAAATGTAGAATGAGGACTGGGCAAAGCAGTTAATATGCATCGAGTATGTGTTAGAGATATCAGTCAACTTTTAAGATTAATTGTTAGTTAACCCCTTATAACTATACAGAATAAAGGACGACTAGAATTGATGTAATCTACTGGTCTACTGAATCCCAGCATAATTCAATACTTTACAATGGCAGACATTTAAAGGAAACTAATATACCAAAATATTTTTCAATAAATTGTGCTTTAAAAATAGAGGGTCAACAGATAGGAGAAAGGAAATTCTTAAATTCCTAAATTTAGAAGTTAATTACTTTCATTTAAATGTATAGCTAAAAATTGTCAAGCTAGCATTATCAGAATCTATCTTTTATTTTCCAAATTCAATCTGTCTGGTATGATTTTGAGGTCTCTTGAGAAGAAACACTATTTCCATGTTAAAAGGATGTATTCCAAAGTACAGTAGCATAGTTTATTTAAAGATAAGGGAAAATATCAACATATAGCTGAGAGAAGTCTTTCATTTAAACAAATACTTTAAAGCACAGCACTTATCCATCTCCACATTAGTTATTAAACACCTATGTACTAGATTGTATTCTATGCATTGATGTTGCATTAATGAAAACAAACTTATAAGAGTTTGTGTAAACTCACTGTTAGCTGGTACATAAAAAACTCAATTGGCAAATTATATTTGAGAATTACCTAAAAAATATGCAATTCATTAAATTTTCTACATACTCTTAAAATATGCAATTGAATTTGGTCAGATCACAGTGGTTTACCTTGATTGCCTCATCTCACTTTTCAAAGAATCGTTTTACTGGACTTTGCTTTTGTGGCATGCAATTGAAGCCAATGAAATGGCTCAGTGCGACTCATACTTACATCACAAAGTATCTGAGGCCACTATTCACTACATTGCATTGTGATCCTATTTAAGAGAATCTATAGAGAAATTTCCTCTTAAGTGTCACAACTAAGAATGGGTCTTTTTCTGTGCTACTAGTTTGTTTTTAAATTATGATGCTTGTGAATTAAGTTATCCTTTAGAAAAGAGGAAAATTTGTGGACACTGTTTTAGTATGCTTCCTGAACACAACCGAATTGCATCTAATTGTTCCTTGCCCTATTTTTTCACATTTATCTTGTTAAAAGTTATGTTCTATGTGTTTGGATAAACCATCTTAATTATTTTTAGTGTATTAATAAATATATGGATGATGGATGGATAGATTAATGAATTTTTTATACAAAGGTCTTCATCTTTTTCCAAACATAATTTAGGGAGGACAGTTAATTCTTTCTGAAGACTTTTTAGAGCAGTGGTTCTCAACCTTCCTATTGCCGCGACCATTTAATACAGTTCCTCATGTTGTGGTGACCCCCAATTTCATTGTTACAAATTGAACATAATTAAAGCATAGTGATTAATCACAAAATAATATGTAATTATATATGTGTTTTCCGATGGTCTTAGGCGACCCCTGTGAAAGGGTCGTTCGACCCCCAAAGGGGTCGCCACCCACAGGTTGAGAACCGCTGTTTTAGAGAATTTGGGCTTATAGACACAATTTTTGTGTATTTTAGAACAGAACAGAAAAGGAAATTATATACTGTGGTGATGTCACTAAAAGGCACTGTTGCTCACAGTAGTGATGGGGAGATTGTCAGACTCTCTCTAGGACTAGACAAAAACCAACTTTTCAATAGAGTATCCCTAAGTAATGCACAAATATGGTCTTTCTTACATCTATGTCAAATACATCTTTTCTATGAACCATCAGAACCTTCTATTTCCTTTTTCTTTTTCCTCTTTTTTAAAAATATATTTTATTGATTTTTTACAGGGAGGAAGGGAGAGAGATAGAGAGTTAGAAACATCGATGAGAGAGAAACATCGATCAGCTGCCTCCTGCACACCCCCTACTGGGGATGTGCCCGCAACCAAGGTACATGCCCTTGACTGGAATCGAACCTGGGATCCTTCAGTCTGCAGGCTGAAGCTCTATCCACCGAGCCAAACTGGCTAGGGCTCTTCCTCCTCTTAAGCTGTTTGGTATAGCAATAAAATCATCATCTGAGAGATCAGACAATGCCACTACATATTTAAGGTAGATGAGAATAAGGGCTGGATATATTGCAGCACCTAGCACAATATCCAACATATACTATGTGTATTCAATAAATTTTTGTTGAATAAAAGAATTAATGAGTAAATGAACCAATATACTTTGAAACTTGGCTTTATCACTTAATTGTTCTGTGCATTACAACAAAATGTTTAACTTTTCTGAGCTTTAGTGTACTTATGAATAAATGGATATAATAGTAAAATATATCTACATCTTATGAGAAGTAAATTATATAAGTAAATCACCTATCACAGAGTAGTCAATACATATCAATTCTCTCTATGCTTCTACCTTCCAATTCGCCTTACATCCTTGCAGTTTTGATCTCACCAGTTAGAGAACAGGAATAATACAAAAAAACAGAAACCAAACCTAGAAACAGTGGTTGAGAACCAAAAGTGAAGGAAAAGAGAATGGAGAGCAAGAACCTAAATCTTAGAATGTTGACAAGTGGGGGGCAGGAAGCAGAACACTGAAATAGTGGAATCTAAAGAGAACAAGAGGTCAAATGAAGTGGAAATTGGAAGTATAGGGGGGCAAGAGCTGGTGAAGGCACAATTAGAAGGAAAAGAGCAAGAGAATAAAACAGGAAAAAGTGATCTAAATTATTTAAAAATCCAAACGGCAGCATAGTTTTAACAATGTAGCTTTATCCTTTCAATCATATATACTAGTATGCTATAGATAATGAAGATTATATGTGCCTTTATTGTCCAAGTACTAATAGATATCATTCATTATTAATAGATTATTCATAATCAATGGAAAAAAGGATGCCATTACAACTTTAAAACCATTTTTCTTAATTAGCTTAATGTTTCTACTTTCTCATACTTAATTTGATTGCTAAATTTTTTTTCCTTGAGCAATAGTAGAAATTTATTTCTACTTCAGATATAAACTTTTCTGAACTAGTAGTGTCTAAAATAATGATGTTTAGTTAGATTTAGCTATTCCCTGTAAATAAGACATTTTATCTTTAACTTCTAAATACTTTCTAAACTATAAAAATTCAATCTCCTATGGAAAATTGCTTACTGTGATCTTATTTTTTTACCCTTGACACTTTGAAGATAACATTTAAGTCAGAAAGATGCTTCAAAGACTGGTCAAGTTCCAAAAAAAGAGTGTCATAAACAATAATTCTATAGGCAGGGAACTTGTCAATGAAATTGAGTTCCATTTTTTTAAAAATATATTTTATTGATTTTTTACAGAGAGGAAGGGAGAGGGACAGAGAGCCAGAAACATCAATGAGAGAGAAACATCGATCAGCTGTCTCCTGCACGCCCCCCACTGGGGATGTGTCCGCAACCAAGGTACATGCCCTTGACCGGAATCGAACCCAGGACCCTTGAGTCCGCAGGCCGACGCTCTATCCACTGAGCCAAACCGGTTCTGGCTTGAGTTCCATTTTTAACTTCACAGAAAAAAAAATGACCTTAAAAAATGTTATTGCTAAAAAGCAATCAAATTTAAATAAGTACAGGACACATAGCAGCTACATGTCAATGGGTAGAAATTTCTTATATTCCTGGTGATTGTGAAAAATCACTTTTACTTACTTTATAGATATTTATTAACAAACCATAATTTGTATTAATATTTACATGCTTGTTACTCAACTATGTAGGTTTAATAAAATATCCTCCTAACAATTACTACAGTGCTCTCTGCTCTGTTCTTAAGTAACAAAGAATATCTTTGAAACACCATTTAATGGC